ATGCCTTGAACAATTAGGATTGTAGACACGGGAAAGGGAGGCTTTATACTAGTAATAAACATGCCTCATTCTCTGAGGTCAAGGAGAAAGAGAAAAAATGAAAGAGAAATATTTGGACCTCAGTGTCCATTTTAAATAAAGTTTAATGTTATTTTCAACCTACCCAAATCTCTGTGTGGCAGATACTAGTTGTCTGATGAGAATACATATTTTCCAAGTACTTGCCAGATACTAGCTGGCCTAATTTAGGAGACATTGAAAATGAAACGGTGCTGCTATTATTCAATTTGGAAAATGAGACTAGGATTAGCATTTGTTCTTTTCTACTGTCTTCCCCTACCCTCACCTCAAAGTTGTAATTCAGCACAGAGGTATCACAAAACATAATATCCCCAATATTTTTTCATGAGTACTTCTCATCTGGGGGGTAGTGGAATGGGAGTAGCAGAGATCAAATGCTTGCCATACCCCGTGCCCCAGTTTGACAGTGATTCCTTCCATAGAGGCAACAAATGTCCCACACCACTGTCAATAAGATGACAAGTGTCAGTCCCGGTGATGGGTGATGCGATCACTTTGCGTGACTCCTGCATTCAGAGGCGTTCCTATTTGGCTCCTTTCTTTGAAACCTGACAGCTTGGCCCAACCTGCCACTGGGCTGAGCTTAATCACACATACCACTCGTATCACGTTGCACTGCCTCAAGCAGCCACTACTGTGTTATTACCTCCTGTAGGCGGAAGATAATACTCCCAGGTTGGCAAAAATGTTCATTTTCACAACTACAGTCAATTCTTACAAAGAAAAGACATTCAGTGGGCAAATATTTTTTGCGTTTTCATTTAGATAGGGTCCTCCTGAAGAAAAAATACCAGCTGGTTGCTGGCCCCACCAAAATACTCTAAAAATAGGCCATCATCAATGCCACTGCAATGATGCCACAACATTTTAGTTAAAAGCAGCATGCAACCCATGTTGTGGCCATCTAGAGGAACTCCTTAGATGAGATGTCCCACATAAGAATAAAAATACGCAGAGAGGAACTTACTCTAAAAGAATCTGAAATATAATCAGACTCTATTCCTCTTATGACAATTAGCAACCACAATGCCTTGGTCATTATGGCCCTTTGTTATCTTAAAGGGAAGCAAAAAGCTGTTTTAGAATAAATTGGAGAGTTTCTCTCTTCCTCACAGTAAAGCTAAAAATAAAAACATTGTACTAAAGTCAATGGTATTCAGTTTTCATTCTGAAATTTTTCATCAAAGGGCACCTTATCCTTGTGGGTTGATTGCTAACCACAAAGAAGTCAAAAGAATACACAGTAATCTACAGGTGGTCACAATGGTACTCAAACATCCTAATAATTAGTGAAGCTCATAAGAAAAGACTCTCCACTGTCGACTTGTTTATATGACTTTAACCACTGGCTTTCCTAAGCACACAGAATGTTTACTTACAGATGCCAAATTTTATCTTGTGCCACTGAATATTTATTAAGTAAAAATAAATAATTATTAAGCCCCTACTTGTATATCATGCTCCCTCGCACCTCCATCACCACCACCAAGACTATAGTCCTAGGAGAACAGGAACCATTTCTCATCTACTCTCTGCAAATATATAGTGGCTCAAATGCCAAATTCTCTACAAAGCCTTCTGTGATGACTTGTCCTCAACAAGAAGCAACTCCTTCCTTATTCCCTTGTTCCCTTGCTGTAAGTGTCAGCACTATCCCTTTACTTCAATTTTAGCACATTCTCACTCCTCTAAATATTGCAAGCCCTTGGGGAATTAAAAAAAAAGCACTCAAAACCAGCTGACATCCGTATCCTTAATATCAAAACTAAAAGCTAGCCATGGGGTAGGCACATATTAGTCAAGCTAAATTACAGTATGGCCATTTTTCTCCTAGTGCAATTATCTTTGGCTTCAAGACAGATGTGAATCATTAGGGATCTGAATATCTTCTGGCAAAGAAATGCACAGTGCGAGCTGAATGCCCAACATTGTGAGTATCATCAGAACAAGTTCTATAAATATGAATTTGCCAAGTTAATCCTCCTTCATTATCTCTATTAGCTAACAATGCACATGGAGTCACTGCACATAATTATTGCTCTAACAGACATGGATGTTTGAAATATTAACTTTTCCACAGCTTCCAAATCTTCAGTAAGCAGCACTCAATGAGTCATTATATTAATAACACGTCACCATGTTCCTATTAAATATGCATGAGATTAAACACCACCCACGTTGCAAATTTTCCAATATCATTTTTAGTATAATTTGCTACCTTTTAGATACTGTGACTATAATGGCAGCTAGGTACCACTATAATAAAGTTAAGTTTAAGTTTAACTGTCTGGCTTATAAGTAGCTAGTATCATAACTAATTCCATTCTTACTAGGCATTCAAATAAGAATATTTTAAAACACAAAGCATAAAATATTTTTTTACCCTACAGTTCTTTCCACAAAGGTCATTGCTAACATCAGTTTGTCTTTATATTTTTACTATATAAGTATACATCTATAAATAAACCATATATGATAAGAAGTAATATGTTTTATGGCATAAGATTATCTAGTTTAAAATTGCATACAGAAGGGGTAAATTAACTTTCTTAAACAGGTATTTTATAGACAAATAATTCAAAACTGCAATTTATCAAGAAATTAGCATACAATAAACTGACCACCTATAAGAAAAAGTGCATAGGAGATTTATGAAGTCACATTTCGAACTAAATACTCTATAAGCTCTTATAACTTCTGAGTTTATGCAAACTATTGCAGACAAAATAAGGTATGATCCCCAAAAAGCAAATACAAAACCTATCACAAAAGTAAATAAAATTTCAAATAAAGGCAGATTTTATATCATTAACCTCAGATCACGTTACTCTACACGCTATGGCTAGCATAGATACAGATTATTAACCCAAGCATAATAATGGAAATAATAATAATAGCCACAACTACATGTATCAACAGCTTACTTAACTTACTGTCAGGCACTCTAGTGCTTTACATTCATATCTAATTTAATTTTCACAATAACCAAGTGAAGGAGATATTAACATATTGGCATTTTACAGATGAGGAAAGCGGAGGCCTACACAGATTAAATGACTTGTCCAAGGTAACAGGGCTTGACAATGGAGGGGGCCTGACTCTGTCTATCCTCCTAATTGCCAAGTGTTGGCACCGAGTTCTGAAGTCTGGAACCCCACTTCCTTATGTAGCTTTGGACAAGTTCTCTGAAGTCTCTAGAGCTCATTTCCTTTAGCTGTAACATGGGCATAACATTAATAAATGCCAGAATTATCGAGAACTAAATGAGATAGTTTATGAGAAAGTACTGAGTCAATCATAGAGCTATAAAATACTGCTGCAATGGTATTGATGAGATAAGAAAAATGTTGAAAATGAAGAAAAAGCTGCTTATTGGTTCTTGGTTAAAGTTTCCCAAGAAAAATAGCATACTTACATAAACATTTCTGATTTTTCACCTCACTTAACATAGAAACTATTACATAAATATAAATCAATATCTGCATTATACTCTAAGAGATAGAGAGATAAGCATTAATAGATTAAGCTAAAAGTGAAGAGTGAAACTAGGAATGCAACTTTGGAGATGCGTATCATGAAAAATGTCACACTAACAAATTTAGCCTTTTAAAGAGCTCTTCAAAACTAAGGCTTTTTAAAGTTACCTGGAATCATTATCAGGTCCTAATTTACTATGATACACATACACATATTAATTTCTGGCAGTATTTAAATCCTTATGCAAAGGAAAAACAAAAGGGAAAAGCAGTACTCAAAAGCTTCTTTAGTTATCTTTTTTGATAAGTTATCCTTGGGCTTATCTTTCCATGGGGTTTTATGTTTTAAAAAAGTATTTCATATGCATTCTGTCAACCAAGATCCCAAACAAGAAATCTATACATCTATATGTGGTGTTCTGTGTGTGTGTGTGTGTGTGTGTGTGTTATACATCAGCATGTAGATGTCTATCACTCTGGTTAAATATCAGAAAGCAAAAAAGTATTTTCCATCTTCCTTGAAATTAAAGAAATCAGTGAAGTACTTACTATACCAAAGATTGAGGGGAAAAGATTAGGAGTAGTAAATTAGAAAGTAGTAAAAAATCTCTAACACATATATCAACCAACAACTGCTTCTACTTTCAACATGAACTCGTCTTCTATTCAATGTTAGAACAAGATGCAGAATTTAGAGAGACAATGGTGAGCTGAGTAACCCTTGTGTCCTCTGCCCACAGCACTGGCTCAGGTAACCATAAACAACACCCTATCACCCCTTTGGGGGGTTTCCTTTTTATCTCATCCGCATTCCCATCCCTGGAAAGTTGCCCAGTATTTAGCTATTAGGTTGCTAAAGAAACCAAGGTCCTGGCATGGGGGTGAGATGACAAGCACCTGGAAAATGGCCACACATTTTCAAACACTATCACATTTCGCCAAGCTTTCTTAGTGACTTGGATTTTTACTACTCCTCACAGGTGAGTAACCCGGTGTCTAATCCTAGATAATCAGTTACCAACTCTAAGCCTCAGCTTCCTTGTCTGTAAAATGAACTAGATGACCTCTGAAGTACTAAGGTCTTGTCATAGTAGGAATTACACACGCAACATTTCAAGGCTTTGTGGTTTGTTTTCTATTTCCTGAGGCATGCGATTTTTTTTTGTATTTGATGGCTTTTCACCTTTCATAATATCTACCTTGTTAGTGATTTAAACAAAGTATATACAGTCAGAATGAAAAACAGGAAAAAGGCCACAATTTCTCAGAATTCCTTTACTCAATTTCAAGACTCTCACATCATTGAAATGAGGAATAAAGGAAACCTTGAATTACATCAGCCCCAAATAGGCTAAGTTACATTATCAAAACTGTTTACTTGATGATGTAAGTAAGAAGAAAGAACACTGCAAGAGTGTATAGAATCTGCAGGGTCCTACCTACCTCCTGGCCGCTCGTGCTCGCCGTCAGTGTGTAAAAGCATGGCAATGGGCATCCCTACGTTCTTGGATCTTCCAGCCACAACCACATTTTTCCCAAATGTTTCAATTCCTTAAAATACAGAGTTTGATTTAAATGTAGAATCAACAAGAAACAAATTAAGCATTTGAACAGCTGACTGAAACATTCTTTAAAAAGTTCTAATTAAATTTGAATTATTAAGTGATTTGTCTATAATGTACCACATTCATTATTTACAAATTATTCTTTTCATGCCCCTTGGATTTGTCCCTTCCTCTCTAATTATGTACTCATTAAAAAATAAACATTCTTGAGTTGCCATTAAATTACTTTTAAATACTGAGATTCACATGAAGAGTTAGACATGCAGAGGCTTAAAATATATTAACTACTAATTACAATGCAAGAAAAGTACAACAATGTCAAACTTAATTGGCAATCAAACTTTGAGAAAAGTTGGAACAAAACAAGTGGGAAAAAGGGCATTTTTCAAAAAGTTCATATACTTTATTGGGAAGAAGCACTAAACTACAGTGTTTCTTATAGGGACTTATGGGGTACGAAAGGTAAAGCCTACAGATTTAACATATTTCATCTCTTTTTGACTCAGTTTCTTCATAAATAATAAAGACACTAGAACTAAGGTTTTTCCAAGTACTAACAGTTTTCTAACTGTAGGAGTCTAGGTTCTGCTTTCCATTGAACATTTTCTCTACCATAAATCAGAAGATTAGAAAAGAGAAGATGCTGCCAGAAATGGAACTGACAGTGATAGAGGCAGGAAATTGTCAATATACAAGGGGGGACCCAACAAAATTGGAATTAGTTTTTGGAGGGTGGGCCCCTTGTTCTACAGGCTTCCCCGCTAGGTAGGTGTTCTAGGGCCATCAGCATCAGTATACCAACTGGCATTGTTATGAGAGCCTGCATTTGGCTTTAATGAATTTCTTGGAGGTGGGGGGAGATTCTTTCAACATGTCTGCCCATTTCATGATGGGTGATTTACAACTGCACTTACTCACACTGCACTGAGTGTTCAGCAGTTTTTGACCAAAAAAAACAGCATGGTCCAGTGCCCCACCCGCCCTCTTCACCCCATCTTGCCCCAAGAAACTTTTTTTGTTAACTTGGATGAAAAAAAGTCCTCAAGGGGATAGTACAGTAGTATTAACTATCTAGGATGCCAAAAAAATGTATACACATTTTAAGAGGTGTTCACCATAATCACAAGTGACTAGATGCTGATGGTAACCACTATGAGCACCTCTCAAAATTACAGAAGTCAAACATGACTTGTATACATCTTATTGAGTATTACAATTTTAATACAGTTTTTTCCTTTCTTAAAATGGCATACATTTTTTGGCACCTTCTGTATATGCACATTGTTGTGAAACTGATCTCTAGAACATTTCACCTTGCAAAACTGAAACTCTGAGCCCCTTGAATAACTCTCCTTCCCACCTCTCTCCAGCCCCAGGAACCACCATTCTACTTTCGATCTCTAAGAGTCTGACTACTTTAGATACTTCATGCAAGTGGAACAGACACACAGACATATAAAGAAGACAGCAATATGAAAACTGAGGCAGAGATTAGAGTTATGCTGCCTCAAACAAAGGACTGCTACCAAACACCAGAAGCGAAGGGAGAGGCAGAGAACAGATTCTTTCCTAGATCCTTCAGAGAGAGTGTGGCCCTGCTAAATCCTTGGTTTTGGACTTCTAGCCCCTAAAACTGTGATAATAAAGTTATGTTGTTTTAAGCCACTTCAAAAATTAAAAAAGTACTCAAGGGAAACTTCTTGCCAATGAGGATGACATGAAACAAAAACGGCAGAAGCACTAAAAGGCACCAAAATTAATGAGTTCAAAACTGTTTCGAGCAGTGGAAAAAGCCTCATCTCAATAGGTGTATTGCATCAAAGAGAGCACTTGAAAAGTGACTGAAGTCTAAACAGGTAAGAATACACAATATTTATAAATAAATTCCAGGGTTTTTTTGGGTCCCCCTCGTACAAGGCAATTTGGGGTCAATTAATGTAGAGGTAAATATCTCTATACACAGTGAGAGTCTGTGTGATTATCACTGTATCTGGCACTGCCTAAGGGTAAATGTGTATAATGAAAACCTAAGGCAATGGTGATGGTTCATCCATGATCAGGGCATTTTTAAAGGTAAAGGAAAATATAATACATTTTGGAAAGGTTTTCATCAAAATGCATGAAGCTTATACTTTAAAAGTAGGCAGACACAACTATTTAGAAAATACTCTTCCAACAAATTGCAACTGCAGTTATTTATAACCTGGCATATTCCTTGTTTTAATTTATTTTGGATTATCCTTTGATTTCTATAACTTTATATCTTTCTATAAGTTCTATTGCTTATCATTTTCTGTCATTCTTTAGGGCTGAGGTGGTTCCATCAAAGCAATACACAAATACTCAGTTAGCACCTAGCACCCACGTCCTACAGAACACGGGTTACCAACCTGTTCTTTTTATTATTTCCCAAACAGCACTGGCAGTGGCAGGTATGAGAGAATGCTGGTCAAGGCACAATCTTCCAATATTGATAATATGAAATCCATCTACATCTTTTTCTGGGGCAATTCCATTGCATATTGTCCGCTCATCCATGTGATCTGAAAAGTAAATAAAATTGATCTCATTTAAAAACTGTAATTTATTGGGTAGCCTGGAAAATGAAGTCTGGGTACCTATGGTCAGATCACTTATGATTCAACTCCAGCTAAAGCGTAAAATCATTATTCTTTTCTTGCTACCAAAATAGTAAGCCAAAGTGCTCTTGCCTAGAAACTGGAATAAACTGCTGTTAGAGTATATGCCATCACAGAGCCAGAATTGGTCAGTCTGGTGAAAGGCAAAAATTTGTGAAATAAAATATTACCGACAGCCAGGTGTTATATCTTTGCTTTAATAAGTTTACATAATTAGAGGACTTAAATCCATATTTCTCTGATATAAGACATTTCTATTGATAGGTTTCTCTTAAATACTTTGGGCAGTGCAGATTTAAAAGAGCTTTGTTAGTCTAAGAATAGTAATATAATATCACTAATTCCTAGCTTCCTCTTAAACGACATAAAAAACTATTACGTGCACACACATACACACACATCCATTCCCTAAAGCACTAGCACACTGAAATCCAAAATATCACTACAGTTTGCTATATGGAAGGAATAACATAACCTGAATGATGAACTAATCAAGTGAGATATGAAATGCCAATCATCTCATTTTTAAAAGCAAATAAATATATAAATATAAAACAGGCTCTTATTGCACTACACAGAGTAACTTAGGTTACCACTAACCTAACAATTAACCCAAGTGCCTAATATATGGAAATAAAATTATATTTGTAAAGGTTTCTTTGTCCATCACACAACAGATGCCATTTAAACATAATTTTTAAAAACATTATGAAATCCCAAGTTCAAACTCCAAAACTATGCCTTGTGTCTTATATATTCTGTATCCTAAAAGTGTCTACTACCAATCTACTTTATTTATCTATTTATTTATTTATTTTTTTGAGTTGGAGTCTCACTCTGTCACCCAGACTGGAGTGCAATGGCACGCTCCTGGCCACCGCAGCCTCGACCTGCTGGGCTCCGGCGATTCTTCCGCCTCAGCCTTCCAAGTAGCTGGAACTACAGGCGCGTGCTACCATGCCTGGCTAATTTTTTGATGTATTGTAGAGATGAGGTCTCGCCAAGTCGCCCAGGTGCGTCTCAAACCCTTGGGCTCAGGCAATCAATCCACTCACTTCGGCCTCCCAAAGAGCAGGATTACAGGCTGAGCCACTGAGCCCTGCTCTACCCTACTTAAATAGATCAAATTTACCATCATTGGACTACCAAAGTCCTGTATAAAAGTAGTCATTTGAATCATATCCAAATGGAAACTGTCTTTAAATTGTGTCTCCAATCAAGTTTTTCCTTTTGATTAGCTGAATTCATTCTGTAATGTTTTAACAGAGTAAACCTTTGTTTTCTCTGAAGCTAGATCATTATATAGATTCTAGTAAAATATTTAAAAGAATGCATGTTTAATTTACTATTTAAGGATAAAAATAGTGGTTTCTTTTTTAAAAAAATCTGGAAGATTATGGTGATGATAATAAGAAGTCACGTTTTAGCCTCCTACCATTCATGCAGAAGCTTTATAACACAGATATTTTTACAATGAAATCAAAACCTTTATAAATGAAGAGAAAACCAATTTTATTAAAAGTTTCCATTGTTATCTGGTGCAAGTTAGTTCATTTCTAAGTTCAAAAGTTGGCTAATATTTGTAGAGGCTGAGCCACTGATTAAAATAACTCAACAAGGGCTCTCTGTATATTGTAAGAGCCATCCTGCTACCAAGAAGCCTGAGTTGCACTGAGTTTTGCCATCTGCTGGTCTGTGCTCTGCCATTTACTGAAAACAACATTGAAGCTATAAAATTAATTCATCTCACATACCTGTCAAAAAATTTGAAAAGAAATATAAGTCGCTGAACATTTGGAAGCCAGATTTAGAGACTGGAGGTTACAGACCTGTCTTCTTATATACTTCTTAAACTTCAATTCAGTCATAACTTAGGTCACCACTTCAGAACAACTTTGTCTTAAGCTACTTAAGTATTCGTAGTTAAAATACAGATATGTGGACATAAAAAAAGGTATCATATAGAGGATACATAAAACCTGAGCTTATTTAGTCTAAAAGGAAGAGTCTCATAAAGTAGATGAAAAATGTTAAGACCATAAAAAATCAAGAAAACCAATTTATACATGATTTTCATGTAACTCTCTCTATATAGTCATAGCAGTAGATTAAATATGATGGGTGTCCTTTGCCAGGAGAGATCTACCTTTTATTACATACTTACAATGTATATCAATAATTTGAACTAGTACATTTAACATTTAAACCATGCTTTACAATGGTCATGTTACCTTTCTAACAATTTCCCCTTTGTTCTTCAGTTACTGGGAACTAAGATAGAAAAGATATTATCATCCCCATTATAAAAACAAGCTCAAAGAATTTGAGACTCAGTCAATCTCAAATCACTACTAAGAGAAGAATCTAGAATTCAAGGCCATATCTTTTTGCTCTAAAACCAGTTTTTCCTTCTATGTCATATAGAAGTCATAATACATAACAATCATTTTAAATATCATTCAAAAATTAAAATCAGAGAGGTCTCCTCTCCTCTCCAACTCCTAACAAAACTTTGATAACCCTAAAATAACCCAAGAAGTGCACAGTTTCTTCTAGGGTTCCAAACACCACACTATATCTAGATAAAATAATACATATCTAAGCACATGCAAAAAGAGGCATCAAATATTCTACAGCTAATATTACCTCCTCTTGTTACATGAGTAAGAGAAATAAGTACATTTTATACTTTTGACTAACTGCTAGTAAGTCTCTTAAGATATCACCTTTGGGGTACACAACTTGAAAACAAAATCATGAAACTCAGTAGCATCAGTTTTCTCACAATGATTATAACACATTTTTGATTGGCAAACAACAAAACCTTAACATCTTATCCCAATGAATAGTAAAATAAGTATTGTTCACTTTGTGGTTCTACCCCCTTCTATTTAAGATCATGAGAAGTCATTAAATCATGCCAGAAAAAATACGTCATCATACTAAAAACACAACACTGCAATAAAATAGTTCAGAGAATGCCTCGAGGGAGCACACTGTAGAACGACTACACTGCATATCCATTTTTGTGATTTATTTATATAATTGCCTTTGGAAAATGAACAAAAAAAGAACAAACACAGTATTGGTTTATTTTCCATCTAAATTATTTTACAACATTATTGGGTTTTCTCCCTGTGCTTTCTGTTTGTGTGTGCACTTTAAAAAAATTAATTCATTTGTTTTTACTTTAAAGATATGGGGTACAATTCAGGGTTAGGTATACAAATGGTCATTATACAGGTAAAGTTGGCACCTCACTTTGGACCCCATTTCACCTGTTTTGGATCAGGTACCCTTATTGATGAAGTGTGCCTGCCATCCCCTGGCAGTTTCCCACTACTGCCAATCCCTTTTTTATAGTAGTATGATAATTGGTCAGGGTGCGCTTATGAATGAGAACATGTGGTACTCAGTTCTTTGTTTCTGTGATAAATCACTGAGTATGATAGACTCTAAATCCATCCAAGTTGCTGCAAAGTTCATAATTTTGTCCTTCTTTATGGCTGCACAATATCCCATCATAAATGGATCAAAGACCTAAACATAAAACCAAACTATAAGAAACTTAGAAGCAGGAGACACCCTTATGGAAATTGAAACTGGCAACCAATTCCTGATCAAAACCCCAGATGCCCATGACATAAGAGATAAGATAGACAAGTGGGACCTCATCAAACTGAAAAGTTTCTGCAAAGCAAAAGAAACCAACAAGAGAGTGGGAAGACAACCCACAGAATGGGAAAAAAATATTTGCCAATTGTATATCTGACAAAGGCATAACATCCAAGATCTACAAGGAACTCAAATGTGTCAAAAAGAAAAAAAAAAAACAACCCCATCACAAAGTGGGCAAAAGATATGAATAGACACATCTCAAAAGAAGACATATGAGTAGCCAACAGATGCATGAAAAAATGCTCAGCCTCACTAGTCATCAAAGAAATGCAAATTAAAACTACACTGAGATACCACCTAACTCCAGTCAGGGTGGTCATCATCAATAACTCAAAAAACAACAAATGCTGGAGAGGATGCAGGGAAAAGGAAACACTTCTACACTGTTGGTGGGAGCGTAAACTAGTACAACCTCAGTGGAAAACAGTGTGGCGATTCCTAAAAGATCTAAAAATCAACCTTCCATATAACCCCACAATTCCCCTACTGGGAATATACCCGGAGGCACTCAAATCACTCTATGAAAAAGATAACTGCACACGTATGTTTATTGCAGCATTGTTCACAATAGCAAAAACATGGAGCCAACTGTGCTTGCCCACTGAAGGAGGACTATATTTTTAAAAGTGTGGTACATATACACGATGGAATATTACGCAGCCATAAAGAAGGACAAAATTATGAATTTCACAGCAAATTAGATGGACTTAGAGTCTATAATACTGAGTGATCTATCGCAGAAACAAAGTACTGAGTGACACATGTTCTCACTCATAAGCAGACCTTAAACAATTATCATAATACTATAAGAAAAGGATTGGCAGTAGCGGGAAATTGCCAGGGGTGGGGGGAGGTGAGATTGGCAGTAGTGGGAATCTGCTGGGGGAAGGGGGGCATACCTTATCAACAAGGGTACCTGCATAATGAACATTTGTTTGCTTAACCCTGAATTGTACCCCACATCTTTAAAATTTTTTTTTAAGTGGGCAAAAGAACAGACACTTCTCAAAAGAAGACATACGAGCAGCCAACAGATACATGGAAAAATGCTCAGCCTCACTAATCATCAAAGAAATGCAAATCAAAACCACACTGAGATACCACCTAACTCCAGTCAGGATGGCCATCATTAATACCTCAAAAAAACAACTGGTGCTGGAGAGGATTCAACAAAAGGGAACACTTTTACACTGTTGACAGGAGTATAAACTAGTAAAACCTTTGTG